ATTAATCCTCACCAGGTGTGGGCTTCCAACCCCAGTGCAGTAAGGAAAGGGGAAGGAGAAAGAGGCATTTGTCAGTTCGCAGACATCTTCTGAGGGTGTAATATTACAAGGAATAGTAGTTTGGGGAGTAGTATGTCCATTGATGGAAAAGTGCAGTATTCACATATAACAGCACTGCCTGGAATTGAGGAATGCCAAGGAAACCTGTGTGGACGTGTTACAGTAAATGTGTCTGCTTGGCTGTTGCTTAAAAATAGAAAAGAGGGTGTTGAGTACATAGAAACTGATGTTGATGAATTTCTGACCTCTTTATTTTGAAAAAGTGTCATCTCCTTCTGCCTGATTCTGAGCTTTCTCACCCCCACCAGTGCTCGACATTTGAAACAAAATATAACTCCTTGGAACTACAGTTACAGTCTTTCATCAGATAATATTTCTCAATTCAGGCTTCAGGCATGCTTCCCACTAGCTACCGCTTTTAGATACACTGAACATTGGTACCACTAAGCACAAATATGGACTGTACAGGTCATTTTGGCTCCTTATCTGTCATGGAAGGAGGGAAATGAGACAACTGTTTATTTTCTTCAGTCTAAAGTCTGTGCTCAGGTGAATGTGGGTGGGCAGTGAATCCAATTTTTCTATCTCAGATGTGCTCCCAGAGGGATACCTGGCTCTGAGGGTCCCATTCAATTTGCTCTTGTGCTTAAGGTAAGCCCCATTGTACATTCTGGATCACTTTGCCTCTCCCTGTTCAAAAATGCTTGTATTATATATATGCATTAAGAGACAGTTAAACTCCAAGACCAAGACCATATCTGCCTGTAGGAAAAGCACATCATCTAATATTAGGTAGCATAAATGATGAAATAACAGGTGTTTTTTTTCTTCACTTGCTACATGGTGAGATTCATTTGCAGCTTCATCCCCTTGGACCTTTGTACTTATTAAAGGCCCTACCTCTTGGGTTTACTTCTTATCCAAAAAAGATATTGTTTTCATCCTACATGCAGTCTGTCTCCCATAGAGATTATATGATAAAATTACATGGTTGTGAAAATCCATTGCAGTGACAAGAGGATGAGAACTCCTGCATCTTCCTGAAGAAAGTCTCAAGTAAGCCAATAAAAGAGCGTGATTTTGTCTTTTATGATAGGAATACCGTGGAATTTACAGTTTATGGTGTAGTTGACTTCTGTAGCTGGCATTTTCTGATATGAAAGTCTACTGTCCCATAAAGGGAAGCCACTAGTGAATTTTGCAAGTTAGGTATTGTATGGGGCTGCTGAATCACAGCCTGAACCTCTGATTGATCACCTGAGACGAGCAATGCGTCAGCCATGGGAGCACAGGTGAATGCAATTCAACTGTGCTGCAGGAAGGGGGTGGAGCCTGACTCCACCTCTCCCAGACCCACTTAAAAGTGACTGCCAGTGGGGATGGATCTCTTCTGGAGATCCACTCCACTGGAGTTTATTATACAAGCCCAGGATTGGGTGAGTGTCCTTCTTTCTTACTCTAGTATAATAATTATATCAGCTAAACTCCTGGATATACTATATCATCTGTATATTCATTGATTGTACAGGTATTGACTTTCCCTTTACGATGCGGAGTAAAAAAGGCTAATCCACAGGTAGTGGGTCATAGTAAGTGAAGGCCCATTTGAGACAGTCCATGGAGAAGAGAGGTAAATCTTAACTCTTTCCCAGACATTTAGTTGATTTACTGACCCATCTTAGCCCAAGGTATTCTCCTAGAAGGAAACATTCAGAGGTTATTTCAAACACCAGCGAAAGCAGCTGGTGGTACTGCAGCCTGTTTCTGTAATAACTCAGGTGAGAGCCTAATGACTGGGTCAGGTCACTTATTATGCATGCTGATTGTTTTCCGCATTCCATCTCAAAGGAGAATGTGTGCACAAATTTGTAGTAGGCAAAGTGTTGCTGCTGTTGCAATTCGTGAGTTTTGGAGTTCAGAACTAAATTCTCTGTATGTGCGCATTCACATTATTCAATCTATGTGATTCAATATTACACATCTTGAAGAACTCACTGAATATGTTTGTCTTGAAAAATGGTATACCATGTTATTTATCATTTTTCTACCCTTTTCATATACTGCAGTAATTTAGTGTACACAAAGGCTTGAGGCTGTGGTAATCAAGGCAGAAAAAAAATGTTGATTTAGATATGCCATTAATAATCATACTGCTGTGAAGCAGAAGTCTTCACAGCGTAATGCTTTTTGAAAGTGATGATGCTACAACCTCATTTACCATATCCCCCTTTGTTTTTCAAAATGAGTAAAAAATTGTTTTATTCCACCTCTATGAAACCAAATGATAGACAACTTTTTCTTAGAATAAGCAAAAAAAAAAAAAAGGCTATTTGCCTATTCTTCTTTAGACGAATTATGTAATAGTTCAAATCAGAGCATAAAGCAATATAAAAACAGCTGGTGGGAAACTTTACTTAACATTAGGCACTTTCAAGCCTGAGCTGTGTAATGCTCATGCCTTAATGCATCATATGCCTTTACTAATTTAAGCTTGATTGTGCAAAAAGGGCTGTGTGGGGACACAAGTGGACAGCTTCTGTTAAGGAGTCATGGTGCAGTTAAAGGTCTGCCTGTGTTCACTGCGTAATGCAGGCAGTTATTTTCACTTCCCTTTTTGTGTTGTTTAAAAAGTAATGCTAAAAACGTAGCAGTGGAAAACTGGTTTATGTTCACAAAATGGCTGTGCAAATAGAAGCATTGGGAAAGATATTATTCTCTTGGGTAGCTTTCTGAATTTTGATACTAGTGTCAGATTCTTGAGAAATTTTTTGACTTTCGGAGTTTAAAGAGAAAAGCAGTGGGAGATTTTGGGTTTCAGTTTGATTCTTTATTGTGCCCTTTTTGAGCTCATTTCTTCCTTGGATATTGCTGCCCTTGAAATACATTTATAATTTTAAGGTTCCTGAATAGGAAGTTAAGAAAATTTATCGTACAACTGACTTCAAATATTTCTAAAAGGTTGAGAAAAAACCTTGCTGTTGGTTTTCAATTATTTTCATTTCAAGTAGTATTGAATAGAATGTCAGCAGAAAAAAAATGTGGACATCAGTGTGTAAACAATGACTTAGAAAGCAGAAACAGTATTTTATTCAGACACTAGTGCCTTGAATATAATCAGATGCAAGCAATATAGTTAAAAATACAGGTTGATTATGCTTTTGAAAAATAGTATATATTTAATTGGGATGAGAAAGCTAATTTCCAGAAAATAAAAAGTAATCTGGATTACTTTTCTAAAAGACAGCTATTGACGTATTTCAAAAGGCATCAGTAGATGGATTCAAGTGATGTCTGTAACCAAGAAATTCCATCTGTGTTTAACCTTTACATTATCATCCAAGCTTTCCTTTCATCTGGCCATAGAGCCAGCTGAGATCCTGCCCTCATCTGCAGAAGTAAATAAAGACCTATCATATGCAAATATTGCATATAAAAGTTGAAGGCCAAATAATGATGGTCTCAAGGTATGGATCCATGTATTGAGTGAATATTAATATTAAGTCTCTTTTATAATTTATCTGTATACTGCCATTTTATTTGCCTATTGTATAAATAACTATTACAAATATTTCTTTTTAAACAAGACATTTTGGAGTCAGTACAAACATAATAAATCTCTGTTATGTGGTAGAAGTAGGGAAAAAAATCTGGCTTCCCAAAATAACTTTTTTTTATAGCGGAGTACTGAAATTTCATTTCAGGTAAAGGTAAGGAAAAAAAATTCTGGTTTCTAAAAATAATTTTCTGTTACAGCACAGCACTGAGAATCTATCTTGTTGTCCTGATGGCCCATTCCTCTTTTCTGTTTAGGATGCTGATGTTAGCTTAAAGCCAAATTAGGCAGCTGCCTCCAGACGCTACTCCCAGAAAGTTATTCCTCAGCATCTGAGAGGGCTTAGCAAAATGTATGACTTTAAACAATACATGGGAGAGATTAACCTGCTTTGTATGTAAGAAAAAAAGTAATTCTGCAGCATGAATTTGGTGTGCATTGTTCTCCATTCCTATTAATCTACTGAGAAGCATTGGTTTATTTACTGGATCTCTACTTTCTGTTATTGTAAGGAGTGCACTCTGCTAAAGCAAACTATTTTCTTCAGAGTCCACACCTGCATCTCTGTAACAAGTCTACATAAATAACTTTTAGTGTTTTCTATGCCTGAAAATGAAATTCCTCTTTCTAAAGACCACATGCACTGCATTTGAGCTGCAGTTCTTCATATGATTTTGGACCAGCTTATTTGCTCTGGGCAATTGGTCCAGGCTGTGCTCAATGCCCTGTTGCTTCTCAGGTGTCAGACCTCACAGGGAGATGTAAAGCTGGTCTATAGGGCCAACCTGGGTTAAATTGGAGGTGAAGGACATGAGACTTATTAGCTGCAGCCCCCATGGCAAAATATTTCAGTGTGCATCTCAAGCAGAAAGTTTTAGGGGGAATACAGTCTCCAAAGAAAGCGTGGGCCAGGGTTTCTATTTTGTCATCCTTGTAATCGATAGGTGGGTCAGTCATCCTTGCACCCTCTAGTTTAGATCTCCTTCTAAGAGCCTTTAAGGTAGTAATTCAGGGAGGAAACCAGTCCTCCTTATCTGCAAAGAACTGGAGCCAGATGGGGCTATTTGTGAGGCAGTAGAACACAGGTGCTGGTCAGCTGCTGATTACTCAATAAATGCAGCACCTGAATTTATTTTGATTTAAGCCTTGATTATGGAGGTCCTTAAAGAGAAGGTAATGACAGGCTCCTAACAACATTTGTGATCAATTCATATGCCTATAAAATCTGCATTGAAGTAAGCATGGTTCTTAAACTTGTGCGACTAAAAAAGTATTTTGAAGTAAAAAGTATTTTAAATAAAAAGTTTTTTGCTTCTTTTTTTTTTTTTTTTTTGAGGTTTTCAGCTGCTGAAACCTTAAAAGCTTATTTTTTGGGAATGTTTTACAGGTGAATTCTGTGGCTGGATGATATTTTTTTCCCCTGCTGTGTTCTTACTGCCTTGTACAGCAGCATGAGGTAGGAGATGAAGTTTAAATCTATTCTTGAGAGAACTGTTTCTTATATCATTGTGACTCTGTAGCTTGAGCAAAAGGGATCTGTATATGCTACTTTAATCATTAAATTTGTAGCAAATAATTCCTCCAGTTCACATACATTTCTTTCATGTTTCCTGAGGCTTTAATAAGTGTGGTGTGTATAAGGAATTCTTTCAAGGCTAAGTGTAAACTTGATGGTGCTTCTCCAGCCTGTTCCTTAAGGAGAGTTCTCTGAGTTCACCTAACAAAAAGAAAATTGATTGCCAAAGTCAAAGAAGATAAAGGAAGAATAAAAAAAATTCACAGATGGATGATGCCATAAATAGATAACACTGTAAATAATGAAGAACATTACTGCCAGCTCTTCGGAGACTGAGATCAGCTAACAATCAGTGAAGACAATGACAGTTCAATTCAGACAAATATAGAACAAAAAGGGCTTCTTACAGAGACGAGCTCCTGGCAGAACTTTAATAAACCAATATGTAGGGTCTGATACAGAGCTGGTGAGGTGGGTGAGGTACAGCTCTTCCTGGCTGATCAGTTTCCTCATTCAGTATACTGACTGTCTAAAAAAAAAAAACCCAATTCAGACTCAAAATTATCTGCTGCAAGCCAATGAGTATTTTTAAAGAAAGAATTAAGAAAAAAAATGTGGGGAGAAAAATTGGTTGTAGTTACTAGACCTAGGACTTTTATTTCTACTTGGATCTTCTCATGGAGAAGGCTCTGCAGTGTGAGTTATTAACAGGTATCTAAATCTGGCCATATCTCAATCCTAGGTCCTAAACCTTTGGCAGTTGGTAAAAGAAAGAGCTGAATTCTGTTGTAGTGAGTTTGATATGGATTTTGGCAAGGGGAGATACTCTGATAGTTCAGGCTGTTACAGACTCACGGCAGAGGAAAGAAACCTGGGGCATCTTGCACCTGACAAGTCCAATGCCATGCCCTCCTGTAAAAAGTCACAATGTGATGGCAGTGATGAGAGTTGGTCTGTTTCAATTTTGCGTCTTAATGGCTTTGTGATTTAAAAAAAGAAAAGAAGAAAAAAACACCACCTAAAACCTTAATGTGGCACTCTTTTATTCCAGTGCGTAGAAATAAAGGCTGCCTTTTTCACAGAATAACACTTCTCACTCACTTTACAGAAGTGAGAAAGATCATACAGGAACACAGGTACAGAAAAGGCTGATATCTGAAAGAATAGTGAAAGAGCAAGAGTAATGCATTTAGTGGGGAAGAAATTAAGTGAACCCTGTTTAGTGCAATTTTCCAGTGCTGCTATGGGTGAACTCAGCAGGAGTGCAGCTCCCTGTGTTTCAGCTTTCAAACCTACAGGGCAGGAAATACCTTCCCTTTCCTCCCCCCATCAACACACCAGAAAGCCCCTCCATTTTTTGCTGGGCTGTGTTTCAGGAAACTGAGTCTGACTCCATGACAAAGATGAGCTGCTGTCAATATACCAAGATAACTTTTAAAGTCTTTGTCATGGAGTCAGACTGTTCATTACTTTCATCTGAATAGCACTGTTGGGTCAAGTTCCTCAAGTGCTGCTGAGTGTCTTAACTGCCTCTGAAATTATTTCCTACAGAAGAATGAAATGCCTTCTGTCACAGCCTTGATAAACTGAGTCCCAAGTATAGGAAATAGTAATTGTGAATTACCAATGACTCAAACTTTCTTCTTACAGGACATCAATGAATTGGATTACGTGAGTAGTTCTTGTCTCTTGTTATTTAATCTGGATTAAATAACTGGATGTTATAGGGAATCCTCTTGGCATTTGCTTGATTATACCTGGATGCTGAGCCACATCAAGTGGTGTGTGGAAGTGAGTGCCTGTAAACTGAAACCCATGTTTGTACAAGTAAAATAATTTAGGTACAAAGGGCTAGAGAATCTAGAACTCAACAGACAAGAGCCAGTCAGGTCATAGAAAATCTCTTGAGCCTGGAGGGCTAAAGATTTGGATTCAGTGATATGTCCTTGCAGTTTCCCTGGTGATTTTCCCTAAAGCTTTAGCTTCATGTGTCCCCCCTATGCCAGAAATAATACATCAGGATGTAAGAGGCCTTGTCTCCTGACAGTCCTCAGGAAAAGCTCTCTCAGAGAGCAGGGGGACAGAGCAAGCAAACACTAATGGATGACTTGGAAGAAACAAAAAAGTGATAGCAGTCCCTAGCTATCTAGATCAGCAGCTAGGACTGGTAACTAAAAATCCCTAACAGAACTAAATGTGAGCAATCTGTTATCAACAAAGAGTAAAATGAAATCCCGCTTCAGCTGACTGCAACTTCTGCCAGTCTTGTCTACTAGCAATAAATAGAGAACAGACTGACAGGAGACATCATAAATGTATATTGGGAGTTCCTGAAAATAGTTACGATGTTTATTGATTTAATCCTCTAAGATAGTACTTCAAATAATGTTTGGGTTTCATAATGTATGTCTCATGGATTTCTACAAAGAGTTCTGAAACGAAGTCACTCAATCTAGAAGATTTATATGTGTATGTCTCCCTTTGAGGTAGGATTGATGCATGTAGTTTGAATAGTTATATTTTACTACTTGTACACTAAAACTTCTGTTCACTTTTATTTATAACATGCCAACTGCCTTTAAAGAAATGATGGAGATTGAGTCAAAATTTAAGATTATCATTTTAGCGTGATTTCTAATTGGTGGCTTTTGTTGACTTTTTTTAGCAAAAACATCAGTTATTGCAGTGATATAATGGTAATAATTCTAAACCAGGGAGAATACAGGGTACTACATGTTGTACAAAAAATTCCTTTCAAATGGGAGAAGAATCTCCAAGTGATGACTGTGTCTATGTTACTTGGGGGACAGTGTGGTCTGTCCTCACCAGAACGTAATTCTTTAACTTTATAACCTTGTAAACATCGAATTGTTCTGTGTTCTTTGGTGTTTTATCAGTGTCTGAGAGTACCACAAATACATCTGAACTACAGACTTACAGCAATGTAATACAATTCTGTAGATTTTTTAATTTTCCCCATGAATGCTTAGTTTATGTAGTCCTTGTGCATGCTCCTGTGCCGTAGCCCTGAGCAAGAATATGGCTGCCTCTCCCAAACCTCACTTAAAAGTGGGAACAGGGACTGGCTATGAAGGGGGGGCACATAGGAGGAAGATAAATGTACCAAGACAGTGGCTGTCTGTCCTGTTTTCATTAGTTTGACAGCTGTGTACTCTGACTAGGTAGAGTAATGCTAGTGCGGATTAAAAACTGTTGAGGCAAAAATAGTGGGACTTTTACTACTTCTAGATTCCAGCTGAATCTGCTGCTTGTTGTCGTCTTTGTGACCCCCAGAAACCTTTGGTAATCTTTATTGTAATTTTTCTGAGAACAGCCATCCTTTCCAACAGAATTCTGGCTATATTCCAAGTTATACACAATCAAGTACTTGCTGCTATACTGGAGCTAGTTAATGTTTAGATGACAAAGTAGTTTGACTTCCTGAGTTGATATGAGCCATGTTCATACAGTGATTAACCAGGATGGTAAACTTGTTACCTCTTAATGCTGCAATGACTGAAAAGATGGCTTACAATATTAAGATATTGGATCTTAATTACCAGTAACTAATTGAAGTTTTTGTGATTATAAAATGATTGAATACGTGAACACAAGACACCTTTTTAGCCTTACCAAGAGGTTGCATCTGGGATAAGAATAGAGATATGCTGGAAAAACCAGATGGTTTTCACATGAAAAAGAACCTGCTTCTCATCAATATTGTGATTGTACTACTAATAAGAGAAGAATGAACAAGGCATAAATCAAGGAGGAATTTCCAGACCTAGGTTAGGATTAACAGATTCATTAAAATAACTTCAGAGACAGAGTTAAAAGTCACATTTATTAATGCTGACAGTATGTATGTAGTCAATGATACAAAAGCCTGTACAAGATACAGACACTTAAAACATGGTGCAGATGGATTTTATGTACCTAAAAAGTTGAGAAAACTCATAACTCTTACATGCTGTTTTGCTGTAGAAGTTCTCTGAATTCATTCTCATTCCCATCACTCTCCACCTGGTTTCTGCCTTAATTCCATAGCTACAAAAGCTAAGAGTGATGCCAAATAAAGCTAGTGTATGCCTCTGTGTGGCAAGTGCTAAGACTCCAAATACACCATACAGTGGTTGCCTGCAGGGATTGAGAGTATTGATTTAAAAACAAACAAAAATAAGCCCAACCCACAACCAATTCAGCTCTCATTTTCTGTCTCAAATAAATAAAACCTAGGTGAGTAGGTGTCAGTGCCTAATTCTAGGTGTTGCTTATTGATTAGAAGGGCCGATGTAAATCTAGTTTGTCGTCTTGAGTCTTGTTCCTACTAAAAGTTTTAGCCAGGCAGAAAATAGAGTATTTGGCACCTCCTGAAGTCTGAATGATAAGTGCAAATATCTATGTCTGGAATTGGCCTTTCTGATTGAGTTGTGCTTCTGCATTGCCTGGATTTATTGTCTATGTATAGGTAGTGCAACTCTACACAGTACACTAATGCAGGACGTTTTATCTTGAAAATGAACAGAAACTCAACTCCTTTTGTTAACTTTAGATTTTAGGTTCATCTCTAGAAGGCAAGAAGTTAGTACTTCATGAGAACATTTCTTGCTATTTTTCTTTTTTCCTATTTTTTTTCATTAATTTTGTTAGTTAAATTTCTTGACTTAAAGTAATGAAGACCCAGGTATTTTCCCAGGGGTTTTTTTGTTGTTGTTGTTTTTTTTTTTTTTTTTTTTTTTTTTTTGTAATGTGCTGAAATAGAGGTGGATTGTCCTAAATCTTGAAGAATCAGACAGTCTAAGTCATGTAACTTCTGGATGAAATTAATCTCTTTTTTTTATGCTGAATCTTAAATTTCTACATTTGGCTTTGGTGTTGTAGAAGATGTCTTCCCTGAGCAGCTTCTGCTGAAAGCTATGCAGCAGTTAGTAACAGAACTCGTCAACACCTTTTCTTGTGGAATTTCAAGTCTTCAGTCAAAAAACTAAGAATGCTAAAGCATTTCAAAGACAAATGTGCTAACATGGAGGAGGGCAGGGTTGTGGTTTTATTATTATTATTGTTAAAAAAAAATTAGAGGAACAAAAGAGCTTACCTCATTTCTTTGGAGCCTGTCAAATTGTTGTGATAGCTCTGCAAAAATAGCTAGGATGGAAAATTCCAGTCTGAACTCCTCCCCGAAAGTTCTGAAAGTTATAAGCAACTAAAAAATTGAAAACAGAACCTTAAAATAGGAACTGTTAAGCAGTCTTACTAATAGCTGGTATTACTTGCCCCACCTATGTAAAATATAAGCCTTAAAATATAGCCTAAATGCACTAAATACCACTAATGTAATCTTGGTAATAGCTACCAGAAAGATGTGGCTGATGTTTTCTTTATTGATCTGCCAAAATTATAAAGTGGCAGTACTTTATGTAAGCTTTATTTAAAAGCATAACTGCAGAGTGATGACAGAACAGTTTATATACCAGTGTGGTAAATATAGCTAGAGCTCTGTTCAATACAGCAAGGAAGGAAAAAGCCACTAAAAATACTATTTGCTCATTACAAGTAAGGAAAAGGTTAAGCATTTGGAGGTGGATTTATTTCCATTTCTGAACTGTGTCACTAAAAGAAGAAAGGTAGATACTAGGGCCCAAGAGTGTAAGTGGTGGACTTTACTGAGTGATCCACGGTAACTTTTTAGATGCATTCAGCTTAACATACAGAGCAGCAAGAGTGGGCCAAGGAATAAAATGCCTTTCAGTTTCTGAGGGCACGCATGTGAATGTCATCAAACTTCAGTTTTGATGTCTCCTAATGATTTATCTGAGCTTTGGTTAACACTCAGTCAGACTGTTGCATTAAGGACCTAAGACTTCAGAAGGTGTATATAGTCCAATCGCTAGCTCAGCCAATGCTACTGGACTAGTGAATTTCTTTGCAATAGAATTAGTAACCTTGCCAATGTATGTTTCCATACTGCGCCTTTAGTATTATCTTTTCATGATAAATTCCTATTCCTCACTCTTGTTTAGCATAGAAGTCCTCTATCTGCTTTTATGACAAAAATAAAAAAATAAGTCCACCTCTCTGTTGAAGTTCATTGCTTTGTGCCATTTATGTGTTTGGTCAGTATATGAGAATGTTCATGGCAGAGCTGCTATTTCATTGTAGATCCACTGTCTATATCTTGCCATTCTTGTTTGCTTTAAATAATGTGTATTCTCCAAGCTATTCAGGAAGGTATTCTGAGTACATTAGAGCCGTAAGACCTAAACCTGTAAATTATGGGTGCTTACATGTTTATTCTTTTACAGTGAAGAATGTGCCTCAGATCTTGAAGTTGAAAGAAAGCTGTATCAATTATTGCCATGAAAATTTTAGGTATGGAGAACAGCAAATCTCTATTTGCATTGGCAGTATTCATAGACCCCTGTGGTTGGACTAACAGCTGCAGAGCTAAGCACATCTCATTCCAAGTTACCAATGAGATGTTTTCTGGGTAGTGCCTGGGAATGCTAAACTTCTAGCCTATACATAACAGACCTATACAGAGCACTAATACAGTGAATCAAAGTACTATTACCTTTCTTTCCCTTTTTACTTATCTAGTGGCCCTAATTGGCTCCAGAAAGCCTGGCTTAGTTCTAGCACAATGTTAATGAAGAATTTGCATTCCAAAATAA